GAAAGCACCGAAATGTTGTAAAAATATAGAAAATATATCTTAACAAATCGTTTGCCATTAAACAGGGCCCAGGTAAGGTCGTTATTTGTAGGTTTCGTTTTGTCAAATGGCATTGATCAATCAAAGGTGACAGATGACACTATGATTTCTGTCGTTCTTGTTGTTCTGTTATAATTTTTTTTTTAAAGTTTATGAGATCAAGGGTTTTTGTATTCACTTTTAAGTCAGACGAGAATATATGTTGGTGTGTGGTCAGCGATTGATGTGAGCAATACCAGAAGCACAGCTGAGTCCTTGACTACCGTTTGAAGGCCCTTTTAAAATAGTAAATGTCACACAAAGTGAAGGAGGGAGAATTTTTTTTTTTATTGCTTAGATTGGTGGACGAACTCACAGCCCACCTGGTGTTAAGAGGTTACTGGAGCCCATAGACATCTACAACGTAAACGCGCCACCCACCTCGAGATATAAGTTCTAAGGTCTCAGTATAGTTACAACGGCTACCCCACCCTTCGAACCGAAACGCATTACTGCTTCACGGTGGAAATAGGCGGGGTGGTGGTACCTACCCGTGCGGACTCCCAAGAGGTCCTACCACCAGTGATTACGCAAATTATAATTTTGCGGAATTGATTTTTATTACACGATGTTATTCCTTCACCGTGGAAGTCAATCGTGAACATTTGTTGAGTACGTATTTCATTAGAAAAATTTGTTACCCGCCTGCGGGATTCCAACACCGGTGCATCGCTACACACGAATGCACCGGACGTCTTATCCTTTCGGCCACGACGACTACCAAAATGATTTGATCCCAGAGGGTAGGTGGTAGCGTGGATAGCCTTTGCTTCAGTGGTAAATGGTGTAATAATAATTAATCGTTTTAAATGATTCCTCGATGTACATTCAGGGAAACAGTACGAAACATAGAATTATCCAATTGCCTACATGACCACATTTGTTCAAAATTTATTAAAATTTCTTAACAAACAATCCTAGATCAAAAATGTGAGAGCTTCAGAGAAAAATTTTTCAAATGAAATACGTACTCAACAAATGTTCACGATTGACTTCCACGGTGAAGGAATAACATCGTGTAATAAAAATGAAACCCGCAAAGTTATAATTTGCGTAATTACTGGTGGTAGAACCTCTTGTGAGTCCGCGCGGGTGGGTACCACCACCCTGCCTATTTCTGCCGTGAAGTAGTAATGCGTTTCGGTTTGAAGGGTAGGGCAGCCGTCGTTACTATACTTGAGACCTTAGAACTTGTATCTCAAGGTGGGTGGCGCTTTTATGTTGTGGATATCTATGGGCTCCAGTAACCACTTAACATCAGGTGGGCTGTGAGCTCGTCCACCCATCAAAGCAATAAAAAAAAAAGAAAAAAAAAATTTTTTAGCACTCACAAAACGATTATGTAGACTGTCATTTTTCTTAATAATATAATTTCATTAGGTATCCCCTTTTCGCGTTTAATTCCAAATTTCTCACAGTGACCAGATATTTAAACATTGAACCATCGTTCTTCATATTCCGAATTGAAATTCCTCCTATTAAGTTTTGTAGCTAAATAATACCTACTGAACATTTATTTAAATACTGTATTTATATACAGACTGTAAACAATTGACTTAATTTTTGTAATCACTTTAGAATTATGAGCAATCTTTGATGACGAGCCGAGCAGTGTCGATGAAATGTTCACCGTTGCTCATAGAACGAAATGCTATTAGAATGAGTAAATTGCGGTAATAATCATATTTATGCTAACTGCATTGTCTTTTAAATTATCCGTTACGCATTGCAACGAAAAGAAATATTTTCGGTTTTTTATTACGTGACTAAATGGTGACTGGATGACTAGATTAACCTGATAGGATGGAAAATATATAAATTGTAACCTCACGCCTCAAGGCAGATGAGTATAACTGATACAGCCAGTCTCTGTCCATATATTTATTATTTTTAATCTATTTGTCAATATCATAGAGATTACTACACAAATCGCCCCTCTTTATTTTTTAACATCGAGCCCATCAAAACTGAGTCCTACCGATTCATTAATAAGAGTTTCTTGTGAGGCTACTTTCAGATCACGGTAACCCTATGAATCAAGCCCGCTGAGTTTCTCGCGATTCCAATCCGGTGGTAGATTCATTCGCGAAACAGCTACTCTTGAATTGTTAGGTCTCCTACTTTGGAGGCGCTGGGGTAGCTGTTAGCAAATCCCACCCCTCCTGGCTGAACCTTTGCTCGCCCACCTGTCCTGGTAAAACTGGAAACGCCTCCAGACCAGCAATAATCCCTCAATCATAAAAATAAAACTTTCAGATCGCTTCTCCAAAGAGTGCCTGTAAGTCATTGAACGCGCACATTCTCGGGTGTCAAATACAACACATAACACTCGATTTGTTTCCGTTTTGTGTCGTGTGCCGTGCGTTGTCGCTCGATTTATCGTCGCGGTAAAATTACAATCAGCTGATATAAGTTTTGTGTTACTCGGCTTCAGGTTGTACCGGACTCCGTTACCGTGTGGCCTGTGGAAGTGTAATGAGCCCGTTACAGAAATAAGAACATAATACCTTGATTCATTCACTAGGTTGACATGTTCTTCAATAACAACGACCACTCACCGTAATTCGCTTCAGAGCAGACGGTCTGCCTTCAACGGCAAAAAATAATCGACTGCCTAAATTTTACGAAGTAGATTTAATCCGACCAAATTAAAAATTAAAGTTTTTTTTTGTAAATGAGAATTATCTCTAAAAGCCTACTGCATGTTATGCCCCGGTGAAAGATTCACCGACAGCATCTAGGGCTGTGACACGACCTAATTGTTATACGATATTTTACTAAGCGAACAATAGCAAATAAATTACCCTAAAATTATATGTTTTTTTTTTAAATATAACTATATTTCAAAGTTTGAGTTGACAGGCTACAAAAAATTAAAATGGTAATTCAATGTGAAAATAGTTTTATAACTACCGTGTATTTTAATAGATGTTTGTACTTTGTACATTGTAGATTTATACACCGTTTTTTAGCCTTTTTTTTGTAAATTCATTTCAATTATTTATGAGTAGGAATAAAAATTAAAAAAGGACAAAAAAAATTAAATACGTAAAATTTACAATAAAATAAAAATAGGTACTTTATGGGTGTGTGTGAGCTGAACGTGTAGTCAATACACGACATTTAACCTAGCTTCTATTATTAATCAACTATCTCCGAAATGTCTTGCCGACAACAGCCCTTAATCTCATCGATATATACTGTAATCAATCATGAATTCTTCAAGTATTGTATTATCGATAGTAAGAGCATCGATAGATCGACGCGCGGCTCTAATGGGTAAACTGTCGTAAACTAATAATTCGAATGTCCTTTCCCGTTTACTCGTATGAAGTTTAACACGAGAGAAAAGGATGGAAAAACGATTGCGGGTCGCAACAGGAAGCCTCTTCCCGTCATTTGTCAAGTTGACATTTGACATCACTCACAAGGCACGAGTGATTGCAGTGTTCTTTTTTGTTTTTTTTTTTTAAACATTATCTCAATTTTCCGATTTTTAATACTTTTGACGTGTGAAATAAAATATACAATGAGCAATTATTACAATTTATCTTGTATTGTATTTGTAAAACGGATATTATTATAATGGTTCGAATATCTAATGCATATTTAGTTCTTAGTAATAACATTTACATTTTACATGAAAAAGTTAGTTTTTTTGAATATTTTTGATTATAAACTTAACATTGAATTTTGGAGTTTAAGTTTGGATTTCAAAATACTTCAACTTTTATAGGAGGCAAGTTTGTAAGACTGTAATCGATATTTAAAAGACTTCTCGGAGTTTTGAGGTACAAAAATTAATAAATCAGTAAAACTGTGCACTTATTAATTACTCAAAATAATTAGAAATCTCAAACTAAAATAATGTTTTATCGAAATCATACAACACTATTGACTCGAGTGGTTTGTTTGCCGGTAGCGACTAGTGTCGTGTTGATAAATATCCTTAAAGATCGTTGAGAATTACCGATAATTCTCATTCCATTCTGCTTAGCAAAGAATTTACTACCTTATTCCGTGAAGCAGATAGTTCGTTTTTTAATATAGAGTTAACGTATATGGTAGCGCGTAGAATGTTATTTATTGAAGTAACTCCGTATGTGTTTTATAGTTATTAGATGGCACTATCTTATTATTTAGTGTCATTTTGTGACAGACGTTCGTATTATTTATATAGTGGGCCACTAAAATGTAATCTCGATAAATGAAGCGATTAGTTAAGTGTTATGTTTCAAGTGAAACTACCTGTTTTTGACGAATGTTTTAATGATCAATCAAGATCATAATCGCGTTAGGTAGTCAAGTAAACTAATCCGTTCGACGATGGGTGTACTATTTCAACATAAATATTTTAATTGATATAAAAAATATATAATAGAATGAAACAAACCGTGAAAGATAAAATCGTAGAGTTTTTTATATTTTGTCTTTAGAAGGCGATTTTCGAACGGGTCCGTGACAAATAGTGTGGACAGTGATTCCGTATGCGCTGAAAATCCCTACCGTCATGAAAATATTAAAAAAATAAAAAAATCCTGAAACTTCATACCCCATCTTCTATGATATTTTCTATTATTTCTAAAATATGTCTGAGAAACAAATACGAAATAAGAAATTAATTTATATATGAAAATAAAACTTCATAGCCTGTAATCTATCACCTTTACTTTTATTTACTTCTAAAATATATATGAAAAAAAAAACAAATAGTTATTACCAAGTATTCCACCATGCCGGAATACTGACGCGCATTACTGCCTCAGGGCGAACCCTAACTACCGCCGGCAGTAAAAAGTAGCGTATTACGTTTTAGCTACGCTCGGAACGTCAATTCTCTCAGCGTTTACGACCAAAAACATCCCCTACAATGTTACGAGCGAAACACAATTGGCTCATTCGTTTTTTCTTCGATTTTTCAGGTAAAAAGTGGCGTTCGCTGACTCCGCAAGACCGACGGCCGTTCGTCGAGGAAGCGGAGCGTCTGCGAGTCATACATATGACCGAGCATCCTAACTACAAGTACAGACCTAGACGGCGAAAGCAAAACAAGGCCAGACCCAACCAACCTGCCACGCCAGTCAGCGCCCCTTCCTCTGCCTCTGCCGCTTTAGGATCGCCGTACGCGACAGGCACCGACTCGCCGGACACTCGCTTCTCCCACAACCCCGGAGCCGGATTCTCACCTTACAGAACCTCGCCTCTTGCCTCCGACTACCAAACAAACCAGCAGTTCAACGGTCACGTTCAAACGCCGGAATCGTCGCCGGCAAGNCAACCTGCCACGCCAGTCAGCGCCCCTTCCTCTGCCTCTGCCGCTTTAGGATCGCCGTACGCGACAGGCACCGACTCGCCGGACACTCGCTTCTCCCACAACCCCGGAGCCGGATTCTCACCTTACAGAACCTCGCCTCTTGCCTCCGACTACCAAACAAACCAGCAGTTCAACGGTCACGTTCAAACGCCGGAATCGTCGCCGGCAAGGTCTCCGGAGCCGCAAGGCAGAAGAAGTACTCCAGCTGAAGCTCCCTTACCGACCCCAGATGCGTCTCCTGTCGAGAACGAGAAAGAAAACTTCCAGTACGAGGAGAGGCGAAGGACTTTGAACCCTTCATCGATATCCGACACGTATTCTCCGTACAAATCATACAGGCCCGGCTCCTACTCGCCAGCCCCCGTGGCCGCAATGGGCATGGCCAACGGCATGTACGTCATGTGCACCCAGAGAACGCTGACGGAGCAGCCGCCTCTAGTGACCGGAACATTCTTCCCGCCAGTGGCCACATCTCAGGATCAACAAGCTCTGGGCACGTCAACCCCACGCGTGTCTTCGGCGCCCAGCGGCCCCATGAACTCTGAATACAGCATCCAATACCATCCCTACGAACAATATGAACAGATGTACAAAACTGAAGACCCCTACGTACACTACCCGGAGCAGCCTAAAACCGAATACGACACCGGCGGTAGCTATTTCTCGGAAGAACCTCCGCCGAATCCTCAACAGGAGGTTGAATTCATGAATCCTCGTTCAGAAATAAGGACGGGTTCTCCCGACTCCGACGTCGACACCAGGGAGTTCGATAAGTACTTCAATCACGGCGCAGAGAGTGCCATGGATCAACACCAGCAGTACAGATACGAGCAACAATGCTATCGGCCGGTTTACTGTCCGGAACAAGCGCCGGAACCGGAATACTGTACCGAGAGGATGTACCCCCCGTACGCATCGGTGATAACCGGTACTCCGCCCGCGACGTATGCTCCCGCCACACCCGGGGCCGAGGTCAGACCCGAAGATGAATTCAGCGAGATATTAGCCGGCGTCCGACAGACCTGCTACAGCAATTGACTATTACGGAACTGATAGAGCTTAGGAATTCAGAGGACATCTTCAATGTAGCCCAAAGAATCTAAATTGTGAAACTACCGTATCTCACTACGAAACGTGATTCTTGTAAGTGTAAACTATGATAATCTAACAACAAGCTTCCTTTCCGTGTTTCTCTTAACTGCCTTAGAATGCGAAGAACGAAGAATCATATTTAACAGATAAAATAATCTGAGAATATTTTCTAAAAATACAAAATAGAAAAATGTAAATTAAGCTATAAATAATTTTAAACGTGATTTTATTCGTTCGTCCTTTATTAATTTTAAAGAAACTTTAATGTTAAAAATATTTAAAACAGAGTATTTAATCAAGATTGCAATTTTTAATCAATGAAATTAGTTCCTGTTAGTTTCGTCTTTTTTTTATTATATTTTTTATTAAAAAGTTGTCTGTGTGTTATGTGTATTAATAAGTTAAGTTNAAGCTATAAATAATTTTAAACGTGATTTTATTCGTTCGTCCTTTATTAATTTTAAAGAAACTTTAATGTTAAAAATATTTAAAACAGAGTATTTAATCAAGATTGCAATTTTTAATCAATGAAATTAGTTCCTGTTAGTTTCGTCTTTTTTTTATTATATTTTTTATTAAAAAGTTGTCTGTGTGTTATGTGTATTAATTAATAAGTTAAGTTTTTCTTAAGAAAATACTATATTTAGATCTTACATACATACATTGTATACAATATATTATCTTAATTACTGAATATGAATTCTTTCGAACAAAAAAAAAAAAAAAAAATGCAGATTGTATTTATATCAATTAAATAACTGCTTAGGCAAAAGCGTATCCTAAAAGTCCTAACTAAAACATCTATCTTATCTGTGATCATCATAAAATCCTATTCTCAAGAAATATAGGCTTAATTTAGTTTTATTCTTTATACGTTAAGATAATTTTCCACATACGACTGTATTATGAACGTTCCAAGTTGGTGCTATATGAAAGTGTCCTTAAAGTATACATAATATAAATATTTTTGTAAAATATTTCGTCCAAAATGACGTCACATAGATTTTTATAAAATTAAGATATATTCATATTTGTAAATGTTTATTTATTTATAATTCTGTGTGCTTTATTTTGTATATTTCGTTGTTCAATTAAAATCGTATGAACGAGCTTCGATTTTAATATATATAACGTTCTTCCATTAAGTTTTTAGGAAATTAATTATTTTTGTAATTTCTACTTTTGTTAGTTTTTAATTATTTTTTATCTGTATAAATCGTAAGGTTTCCTTAATAAAGATATCTCATAGTATATGGTATCCGTACTAATCTTTTAATAGATTTTTAATTTTTAGTTTATTTGAATATTATTTGCAATTTTAATTATAAATAAAAAGACACTCGCAACGCGATCCTATTTGCAAGAAAATTTATGAGAAAAAAATAAAATTTATATCCTCTATTTTGTTATTTTATTGGTAAACTAAAAAACAACCAATCACTTTATAGTCTATGGCGTATGGATATTATGAATAATTTCAATAATGCAATCGTTTTAATTGAGCCATCAATTGAGGCCATCAGCGCAAAAGTGGCCTAACTCACAATTTTTTTATATTCAAGCTTATATGACGTATATCCGAATTTATTTAAAATATAATAAATTTTGTTGCAAAACCGGCCTACCCATAGTTTCACCCATAGATAACAGATAGCTTTGTAAACATTATTTTTGCGTGTATTGTTTTTTTGCTTACTCAAATTTTAATTGATGAAAATTCAAACCTAATTGCCTCCATATGGTAAGCTTAGGCCACTTTTGCACTGATGGCCTCAATTATGGCCAACAACTTACTTACCTACACTAACTTCAGGCATTTTATAGACTGCTTAAAAGTTCATGATCAGCACTTGTAATCATTATTATTATTATTTTTATTGCTTAAATGGGTGGACGAGCTCAGAGCCCACCTGGGATTAAGTGGTAAATGGAGCCCATAGACATCTACAACGTAAATGCGCCACCGACCTTGAGATATAAGTTCGAAGGTCTCAAGTATAGTTACAACGGCTGCCCCACCCTTCAAACCGAAACGCATTACTGCTTCACGGCAGAAATAAGTAGGGTGGTGGTACCTACCCGCACGGACTCGCAAGAAGTCCTACCATCAGTAATAGCATATAGCATAGAGCTCATAGCACTACAATATCGCGCGCCATACATTGTTATGGACACGTTCACACAGTACTGTACTATATATTATTAGATAAGTGAGTCGCCTATTATCAAAGCCGGCAATGTGACTTTTGGACAATTATTGGTAAATCAGAAAAACGAATTATTGACTTTGTATTCCATTGGCAGTCACAAAACTCATCTGAACGACATCTTAGATAAATAACAGATTAAGTATTAACCTTTATTTAATGCAGGTTTTGAACCGTATTCTTTGAAGGAAACGTTTATATTCAAATCAATCTGTATTGACATATCAATAACATTTTTTTGTCCAAATGCACAGATTGCCACCTTTGATAATAGACGACTCAAGTATACGCTGCTATACTATATGGCACTATATTATAGCATCTGAAAACAGCTTTACGTGATAACGTCAGTTACAGAACTATTCGAACTGCTAACTCTGACGTCACGCGAGAAGAGAGATAAATGTGTCACAAGCCAATGCTTGAGCCGATCGTGCCTCTCTATCGCTTGTTCCGCGCTCTCGCTTGCACGATCAGAATCAGGCGGAACGTGACACTTTTACGTGCATGCAGTCGGTGCTCAAGAAGGTTTCGAAGGTGACATTTAAAATAAGCTCATCATTTTCAGTGGAGGTGAATAAAGAATTTCATGTTTTCATAAGCCATAGGGGAGCCATAGGGTCTAGCTATGACCAAACTAGAGTGTAGCAATCTTATCATGAAAAATATAAGCACCTGCCGTAATAAAATCCATAAACCAAAAATTTGTGTGTGTGCTGTTGCACGTTGAAGAGTTCCTTTATAATCTTTGATTTCGTTTTTTTTCCTACCTATTCTACTAACCTCGAGGGGTTATGGGGTTCGCCAAACTAGTAGGTGAGCTCACGGGGCTCAAACCTGACGGCGTTGCTAACACGAACACTAGCAAGAACCGGGCTTCACAGAATCTACCACCGGATCGGAAACGCGACACGCTGAGAAGATCCGGCGAGAAACTCAGTGGGCTGTGTCTGTGGGTTAATTAATTATAGAAATATAATATCGTTGAAACATGCGAAAATTCAACTCCGTTGGATAAAATGTTGTTCACATTCAAATTATCAACATTAGATAAAATCAAGTTAAATAATGACTTTTAAAATAGGCAACGAGTCGATACACATTTATCAGTCTATTTCATTATTATTATATTCAGTTTTAGTCAGTTGAATATTTCGAAATATGGACTACCCATCTTGTACTACATAACAATAGAACTATTTTAAATCAATACCTCAAGACAATTTAAGTGAAAACATCAAGAGCCGTCACCCATAACTCAGACCACACCACACACGTGCCTTTCCAAACACGATGTCAAACGTTTATAAAAGTCATTTCATTGACGCCCCCCGTGCAAAGGCGCATAAGTTGAAATAAAATTAAAATTACTAAATAATTTGCGGGGCTGCGGCCCGCGGGCTCTCGCGCCTGTAATTACGAACGCGGCCCGCCCGAGCACCGCCCCCCAAGCTCGCCTCTATCTATATTGATGTATTGACACTTCACAGCCAAATACTGTAAGTACGAACTAAGCGATTTCGTTTATTTAAATAAGATGGATTTTCTACTGGTGGTAGGACCTCTTGTGAGTCCGAGCGGGTAGGTACCACCGCCCTGGCTATTTCTGCCGTGAAGCAGTAATGCGTTTCGGTCTGAAGGGTAGGGCAGCCGTTGTAACTATACTGAGATCTTAGAACTTATATCTCAAGGTGGGTGGCGCATTTACGTTGTAGATGTCTATGGGCTCCAGTAACCACTTAGCTCCAGGTGGGCTTAGAGCTCTTCGTTAGAATGTGTTTTAATCCGTTAGAAATGATCCCGTCTTTTCGTTTTTACCATTGCACAACTCTCACCAGAGCAAGGCTTTTCCACGGTGTATTTCGAACATCATTTTTTCCACGTACTACAAGGCTTCTCAGTGAAATGTACGTTGTTTTATGAGTGTTATGAAAAGTCTTTCTTCAAAAGTCTTAAGCAGTGAATTGCACCCCGGCATGGACATATGGTACGTTGTCTTTAATAGCAATAAAATATCTACTTCCACTTTTGACGAACGCGTGAATTCCGCAAAATAGCAATATGATTTGTTATGTACTTGATTCCATTCCAAGAGCTGTTTAGGAAAGTGTGGAACAAAATAACTATAATTTTCTAATAGAGCGCAGCATAACAAATAACTTTGGTATATTTTTATTTTGTAATATTCAATTTCTTAATTTAAAAGGGGAGTGAGCGAAGAAAAGGTATATGATAGAAGAGTATGGAAGGAGAAAACATGTTGCGCCGACCCCACGTGACTGGAAGAAGGGCAGGATAATGATGAATGATGATGATTCAATTTCTTCTCAATTGTGATGTTCTTAAATGTAGTATTAAAAAAATTAACGTTTATTTCTCAGACTAATAACTGTAAATCTGTCTTTTAAATTCTTTTTTGGTTGATTTATTTATTTATTGACAAAAAATAAGAATTTGTAGATACGTATCTTTTTCCGCGAGAGTGTTTTGGCGCAATGCTGTTATAATACGTGATAATTATCTTTTTTTAATCCTTTTACATTTTAATTCGAAAGGACATTTTTATGTGAAGCAACATTGTAAAAGTATAGTGTTGAAATTAAATAAATATTTGTACATTTGTGTTTAATTTTTTCTAATTGTTTTTGGTTTTATTACCATCCTTATATTTGTGGTGTAGAAAAGAACATAATTAATCATTCTATCAAGCGTCTTTAACAGTATTTTAATAAACACTATATAAATTAGGAAAGGTCTAATCACCCTTCATCTTGATTTCTAAGTCCACAAGAATCTTAATTTCTCTTCTTATTCACATACGTATTTATTGAAGTAAAGTCTCTACTATTTATTTACCTCTCCGGATGGATGCGTTTAATATCATGTTCATATCTACATACCCATGTTAGTGTAAAATGATTGACTGTTTTCTATTATTGCCCTAGTCGAGAGCATAGTTCACTATATGTCAAATGGTTATCAGAGCTTACATAACAACATTAATATCACCCCTCACTTTGAAACAGAATAAGATGAATTTCAATTATCTTCTAAATCGCCGATGTCATATTTAAACATATACTAGACAACGGGTAAATATGCAGGTTCACCGTTTTAATATACTATACCTAGATTTTTTTTATAAAGAAAGCATTGCTGATAGACC